CTGCTGCTGCTGCTGCTGCTCCTCCTCTTCTCCTCTCGGCGGCCATGAACGGCGGCGGCCAGGTCTACGAGGGAACCACGGTCCCGGCCGAGCAGCCCCCGGGCAAAGGCAGCCTCTGGGGCGGCGGGGGCGGCGGCGGCGGCGGCTGCACCATCGCCCGCCTCGGCCCTTGGCGACTCCTCCTCAAGGCTGCCCAGATGGTAGGTCGGTGGGTCGGTGGGTCGGTCAGCGGGGCTGGACTCGGGGAGACCAGGCCACTTGGCTCCCGCTCCCACTTCAGAGCGTCCGCACTGCAGAAACAATCCGGTTCGATACCGCTTTAACTCCCACGGCTCCATGTTATGGGATTTGGGGAGCTCTGCCTCATATACAGTACTAAGCCCATCAAAGGCCAGTCTCCCTACTACAGAATGTATTAGGGAAATACATAGGGAAAAGGAAAGGGAAAGGGAAATGGAAAGGAAGGTCTTATTGATTACTACCAACTAGAGACCTCATAGGTACAAGGGCTTTAAGTCTGCATCCGCACTACAGAAATAATCCGGTTTGACACCGCTTTAACAACTGCCACAGTTCCATGCCATGGAATTCTGGGAACGGTAGTTTGTTGTTGCCATGCTGGGTAAGGGACTCTGGGAGTTGTAGTCCAGTGTTTGGGGCCATGCTGTAGTTTGTTGTTGCACCAGAGCTCTGCCTCATATATACTGAGCCAATTAAAAGCCAGTCTCCCAACAGAATGTATTAGGAAAACTTAATCGCTGCCTAACTACCAGACCAGAGACTTCATATGTACCAAGATCTTTAAGGCTGTATCTGCACTGCAGAAATAATCCGGTTTGATATCGCTTTAACTGCCATGGTTCAGTGCTGTGGGATTCTGGGAAGTGTAGTTTGGCCACCAGAGCTCTGCCTCATTCATATACTGAGCATTAAAGCCAATCTCCCTACAGAATGTATTAAGAAAATACATCGGGAAAAGGAAAGGGAAAGGGAAAGGGAAAGAAAGGTCTTAATCAGGGATAGGCAACCTAAGGCCCGGGGGCCGGATGCGGCCCCCCGAGGCCTTTGGACTGGCCCCAGGCCGGTCCTGCCGCTGCTGCCACCGCCCGCCATGATAATATTGATTATTGTTGTTATTATTTGTTCTTGGGTTTTTCTTGGCAAAATCTCCACATGGGTTTTGCCATGGCTTTTCTGGGGCTGAGAGAGTGTGCATGCATATTTTTTTTTAAAAAAAATTATTTTTATTTTTATTATTTATTTATTTATATTTGGTGCTTCGGCCCCCCAATTGTCTGAGGGACAGCAACCTGGCCCCTGGCTCAAAAAGGTTGCCTACCCCTGGTCTTAATAATCACTACCTACCAGAGACCTCATACCTACATTTCTGCACTGCAGAAATAATCCAGTTTGACACCGCTTTAACTGCCACAGTTCCATGCTGTGGAATTCTGGGAACAGTAGTTTGTTGTTGCACTAGAGTTCTCTGATAGAGAAAAAAAATGCATAAAATCTCCTAAAACACTTTGGAATATGCAAACACAGAGTCGTACAAAAGATTATCTTCTCTGCTTTTGTTCCCAACCAGATTTGCCACTGCAGAAATAATCCAGTTTGACACCACTTTTCCTGCCATGGCCCAATGCTATGGAATTTTGGGAATTGTAGTTTGTTTTGGCACCAAAGCTCTCTGACAGGGAAGGTTCAATGTCTGTCAAAACTACAATTCCCAGAATTCCAGAGCATGGAGCCATGGCAGTTAAAGTGGTATGAAACTGGATTATTTCAGCAGTGCGGTCTTTCTGAAGTGGAGTTGAGGATGGGGGGAAGCTTGAGCGGGCGAATCCCTCAACCTTTGGCACCCGAATATCCTGCTTGCTCATTCCCAA